GTTTGCTTTTCCCCTGTGTAAACCAGATGATGGTTGCGAAGGACTTGCCCTTTGCTTCACTTTTTCCGTCCAAAGCGAAAGCGAATTTCGATTAATAAAGGGCATCTGACAACTGAGCTCTGACCCTGTGTGCTAGCTGTTGTCAGAGGAGCAAAAGAGAAAGCAGCCCAAAGGCCTGATTGGGACTCTGTTCAGGAAAATCTGTGTCCCCATACCAACCCCACCTACCATTTCCAGCTGAGTAGAGACTTTTTTTGCACTAGGAAATGGGAGACCCCTTACTAAGAGCACTCAGTAGATGGGGATGTCAGCTTGGTCAAGAGAAATGGGGGGTTGGGGGCTGGAGCTATAGTACAGCGAGTAGGGCATTTGCCTTGCACGCGGCCAACCCGGGTTTGATTCCCAGCATCCCATATGGTCCCCCGAGCACCGCCAGGAGTAATTCCTGAGTGCATGAGCTAGGAGTAACCCCTGTGCATTGCTGGATGTGACCCAAAAAGAAAAAAAAGAAAGAGAGAAATAGGTGGGATTTTTTCTTGGCGTGAGAAGAACCATTGCTGGGCTGGCAGTTGGGGGTGGGTGTGAGCACGCTAGGCCACTTGCTTTTAGACTGTGGCTGCACAGCCTTGGACCTTAGCACCTGTTTCCCTGAGAAAAGGAATGTCTCGAGGACTGGAAAGCGAGCGGCTGTGGGAGCGAGGGCAGGGTCGGAGTAGGGAGGGCCAAGGGCATGGTGCTCTCGGAGGAACCAGTGTGGGAGGAAATGTGGGTACTCAGCCGTGAAGGGAGAGGGGACAGGTTGAAAGGGGGACCATCATGACCAATGGCTTCGGACAGGCACAGACCCCTGAGCTGACAGCGGTGCTTCCCAGCCGGGCTCTGTCTAGAGTCTCACAGCCGCAGCCACAGCAGGTGGGCAGACACCAGCCCCCACCTGGGCAGGGCTCCCCAGGGCACTGCCAGCCAGTGGCTCCATCTTACATACACCCTTGCCTTCAGGAGGAAAGCAGCCAGGGACCTCGCCGACACCTGCCCTTGTGATTGGGGACGCCCTCTGAAGTCTGCAGTGATCACTTTGCCACGGTGCTATTAGGGCCCAGCTTTCAAAACACTTTTTTTTTAAGCAAATAGGTTTTATTTGGAGGATTTTTAAGGTATGGAGGGGAAGAGAGAGAGAGAGAGAGAGAGAGAGAGAGAGAGAGAGAGAGAGAGAGAGAGAGAAATGCACTCAAGAGAGAACACATGCTTCTCCAAGGGTGGAAAGAACCCCTACACACATCCTAGCATTAGACATGAAAGTACACATCTCAAGAGGGGAGATGTGGGTGACACGTGTGGTTGGGCACCACATGTGCTCGGCCATGTGGGCACAAGCAGCACATGAGCTCGGGCACCATGTGCACTCAAAACACTTTTGACATTTCCTTTTGATTTGTGTTTCAATGTCTTTTATCCTCCCACTTCTCTCTTTCCTACCCTCTCTCTTCCTCCTTCTCTCCTTAATGGCCTCCCTCCCTCCATCCCTTCCTCTTTCTCCTTTCTCTCTCTCTCTTTTTTTTTTCTTTTTTTGGATCACACCCAGTGATGCTCAGAGATTACTCCTGGCTCTGCACTCAGTAATTACCTTTAGTGGTGATGGGGGACCATATGAGATGCTGGGGATCAAACCCAGGTTTGCACGTGCAAGGCAAATGCCCTACCCGCTGTACTATTGTTTTGGACCTTTTTTTTTTCTTTTTTAAGATTCCAAAGGTGAATCCTGTAAGGGCGGAGAGAGGCGGGATCCTCAGTCAGGTTGGGAAGGGAGAGGTGGGGAGTTGTCTGGAGGAGTTGGTGAAGGGCAGAGGTGCAGGAGGGGTGGGGGCCAGTGCATATGGTACCTTCTGTTTCTGATGGATGGGGGGAGATCATTTGGGGAGGGGACAGAATGTGCCTAAGCACAGAGCGAAGGCTGGAAACAAAAGCCTCTGGTTTTACGAGAGTGCTTTGGGATGCGTCTTCCGGCTAAACCTGCTGAAGGGTCTCTCGAGAACACTGGCTGCTTTGGAGTTTTACCTTCAACAGGTCCGATGGTGAATAGGAACGCAGTCCAAGGGTTCGCTTGCTGTTGTTAATGCTCTTGTGTGTGTGCCTGCCAACAACTCGAGGACGTCTTCCTGGATGCAGGGCGTCCATCTTTCCATTTTCTGATGCTGCGTCCCTCCCCCTTCTTTGTGAATGTGATAACCAGGGGCTGGACACACCTGGCTGTGGTTTCCATATGCGTGCTCTCCAGGGACCACACTTCTTAGGTGTCTTCACACGTTCCAGCTACAGTGATCCTTGTACACATTCCTTGCGTGGCTCACACACACTTGGAGAATCACACTTTGCTGTAGGGCCAGGGGAGGGGAGTTCCCCTCATGGCAGCACCACCTGGACTGCAATTGGCACGTATGAGCCAGCACTGGGAATCAAGCCTGGAGCCTCATGTTTACCAATCATGCCAATGAGTTATCCCCACTCTTTGCTCACCCCCCCCCCCCTTTTTCTTGGTGACATGCTGAATCTAGACAGGGTTAAGGAAACATAGTGGTAGAGCACAAGTAGAATTGTTTTATTTCGGAAATAGGAGAGAGGAGAAAGAGAAGAGGGACCCCCCCCCCTCCCATAAGAGAAAAGAAAAAGCCCACATCCCGGGTTGCATGCTGGACCCCAGAACGGGAATATATGTCTCTGCCTTTTGCTGAGTTGGCTCACTGATGGATTTTCCCAAACTTCCCAGGCTTGGGGCTTTTATTGTGTAGGTAAAATTCCCTTGCTAGGTGTGGCGAAGGGCAAAGGACTTTGGCTTTTGGGTGGTCTTCGTTCATGTTCTTTGAATGGCCTTTTGTTCCTGCAGAAGCTTCGTCCCTCCTGAGGGGATCGGCCTTCTTTCAGCTGGTGTGAGGGTCGTTCAGAGTCTTAGGAGACCCCGATTCCCATGAGACCAGTCTTCATTCAAGTTCTGTGGGTGTCAAAGGCTACCACGAAGAAACTTCATTTCTTTAAATCCTATCTCGGTTGTATGACTGCCCCAAACTTGTTGCCAGGGGTCGGTTCCTTACCTCACTGCTTGCCTGCCTCATCTGGTATTGAGAAGAAAAAACGAAACCAGCATCATCCCCAATAGTGCCATATTTTATCATTATTTTATCATTGTTTTATTATTTTATTATTATTTTATCATTATTCCTGTTTACAGAAGAAATCGCCCCAACCGCAAATCACACAGTCAGTGAGATGTAGATTCTGAACGTGGTAATTCAGGCAAGCCTCCATATCTCAGAGCCCTGATCAGTTCTATAAAAATAAAATAAGCTGGCTCTATAAAGAGGCACTCACAGGTCCCAGAGATTAGAATATGATTGCCTTGGGGAAGCCATGTTTCCGCTATCCTGAGGAGGTTAGCTCACGTTTTATTTCTCAGTGGAGACCTCGCTCCACCTTCTTCCTTTCCCTTGCTTCCTCTTTCCTCTATCTTCCTCCCCCTTCTCTCTCTCTCTCTCTCTCTCTCTCTCTCTCTCTCTCTCTCTCTCTCTCTCTCTCTCTGTCTCTCCATCTCTTCCTCACTTTCTCTTTCTATCCCCCCCCCCCTCTCTTTCCCTCTCTTTCCCTTCCCCCTGGAAATTTTCTGTGGAGATATGACTCCCTGGGCGAGCCCTCACATTGCATCTGTGAAGCCCTGAGTTCCGTCCCCTGGACCGCAGTGAAAAATACATAAACACACAGGAAGTAGATTTTAGATGTGGAAAAGTATTTGAAGGCTCTTGTACATCACCCTTGGATTTTTCAGAGGAAAGATCAGAGCCAATGCAGTCAGGTTTAGAAGTCTGAAAAGAGAAGATTTGATTCCAATGACAATTAGCAAGGAAAAAAATGCAACCTGGGAAAGGATGGTCAGTGGGTAGGTGGGAAATGAGAGGGCACAGACCCCCCAATCCCCCTCTGCCTGGCCACCCTTGGCCTCTGGGAAGCCTGAAAAGGTGCGTCCTTGAATTTCAGAAGGGTGGAGTCCAGGCTTAGTGGCCAGAGGAGGTTTAGGGTAGAAAGCAGGCGGTTTTAGTTCTGCTCTATTTATTTTTCCCCCTATTTATTTATTTATTTATTTATTTTACCTCTATGGCAGACAATTTCTCCAATACACTCTCTACTTTTGGGCATTATAGTTGCTTGAATTTTTCCACCATCATTCAAGCCTGCCTATCAGGGGCACACGCTGGATCATTTAATTTCTATTGCTCACTTTGAACATGAGAGGGCACGCAGCCTCTTTTGTGGCTGTGCGCTTCTGGAATTCTAGATTGTACATGGTTGGGGTCCAGAGACATCTCTGTAGGGCACTAATCCATTTTAGGATTCAATGGGGAATCCCTGGACCAGGGCCTTGGTTGAGGAAGCTCATGGTCATGGGGGCTTCATCTAGAGCGGTGGGGAGAGTGCACCCGCTCCATCTGAAGTGCCCCAGTGAAATTGGCTTGGTACGGGGCCCGGAGAGATCTCCAGTGATGTGGTGTCTTCCGGGACTCGCTACTGTGTCTCTGGACCACAGGTGTTGGTGCACTAAGATGGTTCTGCTCAATCTTGTGCGACTCTGGCTATAACCAACTTGGGTCTGGACCAAGGAACGCAATTTTTTCACCATCCCCTTTCCCATTGCCTTTTAATTCTGGAGGTGATGACGACTTCTCTAGGTTCACTGAGATGGACAGTGCCTGGTGGCAGTCCTCACCTGCGGATGGCCCCAGGGAATAGAATCCAGCAGCTGCCTGCAAAATAAGGGGCTTTCCTCCAGCAGGGGAGGGAGGATGGGTGTGGCAGCTGCGTGTCTTGTTTGAGAACTGGGAATGGGTGGTTCCACAGATAGATAGGATGGTACTGCCACACCTACACTTGCCCTGTTCCTCAACACCACCAGGTGTCCAGGAAAGAACCAGAAAGAGTCCCAACATGGCACTCACTCCTCTCTCCTTCTCTTCCAGATGCTAACACAAAATAATCCAGATGGGGTGCAGGTGCTGTAAGATGATACAAAGGTAAGTCAAGCTGCCAACGAATTGGGAGTGGGGTGGGGTGGCAGATTCGAAGTCCCTGTGTCCATCCACACGGTCCTCTAGGACCTGAGGAGCATGTCCAAGAAACTCCGAGCCTGGAGCGACTTTCCTGTATCTTTATTTTTTTAAAAATTTTTATTAGTGAAACACCATGAGGTACAGTTGTAGACTTACAAATTTTTGTGCTTGGGTTTCTTTTATACAATTATCAAGTACCCATCCCTTCACCAGTACCCATTTTCCACCACCACGGGTCTCAGTATCCCTCCCACCCCCCATACCCCCATCCCACCCTGCCTCTGTGGCAGGGCATTCCCCTCTGTTCTCTCTCTCCTTTTGGGTGCTGTGGTTTGCAAAAGAGGCACTGAGTGGCAATCATGTTTGGTCTATGGTCCACTTTCAGCATGCTTCTCCCATCCTGGGAGGATCCTCCCAACACCCTTTATTTGGTGCTCCCTTCTCTATCTGAGCTGCCTTTTCCCCTAGCATATGTGGCTGGCTTCCAAGCCATGGAGCAAAATTCCTGGTACTAATCTGGGCCACTCTTGGGTGTTAGTCTCCTATTTCGTTACTTTATGTTCCCCAGATGAATGCAATCTTTCTATGTCTGTCCCTCTCTTTCTGACTCATTTCGCTTAGCATGATACTTTCCAGGTAGTACCACTTGTATGTAAATTTCATGACTTCATCTTTTCTAACAGCTACATAGTACTCCATTTTGTAGATGTACCAAAGTTTCTTTAACCAGTCATCTGTTCTTTGAAGGCCACACCTGGCTACTTCTTTCTCTCTTGCTTTTCTTTCTTCTGTTTTGCCCTCTCTCCAGAGCCTGTGGGAGAATGCTGTCTTTTGCTCAGAGTTTTTGATTGGGGTCAGATGTTAAGCTCCTTTCTTCAGAGAGCTTCAACGCGAAAGGGGGGTGGGGGGGGTGGGAAGGGGGCTCCGCTTCTGCCTTCAATGACGTCGCAGAGACTAAATTGCCCCTGTCACATCTGTGTCTTTTAATTTTTTTCAACGTTCTATTTGATGACAATGTTAAGACACAGGAACTGGAATTCAACATAAAATAACCAGGGAGGTGGTGGGGAGAGGTAGCCTAGTAATATTGCCCCCTTCCCAAATGCAGCTCAGCAGGGCTGGACACAGGCACTGATGTGGGAGCTGAGGTTTGATCCCCGGGAGAGTCTGATCCCCTGAGCATCCCCTGGGAGGGGCCCTGGGCCGGGCGCAACCCCCAAAGGCAGCAATGAAATTCAACTCTATTACTCTAGTTCCTGCTACAGAAAAGGAGTTTGATTCAGCCGTAATCATACCTCCACATTGATGAGAAGCATCTGTCATGCTATTCCAGACTTCATAGCACTTTAATGACCAGAGCAGTCCATGGAGGGCGTGTACCATCCGTAGTTAATCACTTATTTCTGTGCTTATTAAGCATTTCTTTTCCTTTTTTTTCTTCGTGCCTTTAAATTTCATTATCCACTTCCCCCACCCTACACGGTGCCAGGGATCAAACCCAGGGCCTCTGGCAATCAAGGCAAGAGCTCTACTACTGTACCACATCCCTAGTCTCTCAGTGAACCACTTTTTAAGAAAAACTATGCTGGGGCTGGAGTGATAGTACAGAGGGGAGGGCATTTGCCTTGCACGCAGGCAACCTGGGTTTGATTCCCAGCATCCCATATGGTCTCCCGAGCACTGCCAGGAGTAATTCCTGAGTGCAGAGCCAGGAGGAACCCCCGAGCATTGCTGGGTGTGACCCAAAAAAGCAAAGAAAAACAAACAAACAAAAAAAACTATGCTTTCTTCTCTGCCCCCTTTTGCGTCTCTGTTGAAGCTCCCCGTGGCAGAAGGAATGCCTCATACCAACCATCTCTGTTTCACAAAGACACACAGAAATGCATGTCACCTTATGTTCCCCAGATAAATGCAATCTTTCTATGTCTATGCCTCTCTTTCTGACTCATTTCACTTAACATACTTTCCATGTAGTGCCACTTGTATGTAAATTTCATGACTTCATCTTTTCTAACAGCTACAAAGGGGACTAACACCCAAGAATGGCCGAGATTAGTACCAGGAATTTTGCTCCATGGCTTGGAGGCCAGCCACACATGCTAGGGGAAAAGGCAGCTCAAATAGAGAAGGGAGCACCAAATAAAGGGTGTTGGGAGGCTCCTCCCAGGATGGGAGAAGCATGCTGAAAGTAGACTATAGACCAAACATGATTGCTACTCAATGCCTCTTTTGCAAACCACAACACCCAAAAGGAGAGAGAGAACAAAAGGGAATGCCCTGCCACAGAGGCAGGGTGGGATGGGGGGGAAAGGGGGGGTGGGAGGGATACTGGGACCCGTGGTGGTGGAAAATGGGCACTGGTGGAGGGATGGGTACTTAATCATTGTATAATTGAAACCCAAGCACAAAAATTTATAAGTCTACAACTATACCTCTTGGTTTGTCACTAATAAAAATTTTTAAAAAAGAAAAAGAAATGTATGTCACAGGGAGAGTAGACGGGAGCCGAGCCGCAGCGAGCCCTGATGATACGGATGGGGGATCTGAATCTTCCGTCTTCCCCCCCGCAGCTATCTCTTTGATCCGGTCCAAGTGCCCTCCCCTGGCTACATTAACGAGGTCAACAGCTGCAAGTTAGAAGAAGACGAGAATGTCAAGTTCAAAGGCAGGACGAGCAGCCAAGCCTTGGTGCCGAAAACCGAGCATCCGAGTGAGGGCTTGAAGCGCACGGCCAGCAGAGCGGCCGCTGCGCCCACTCGAGGGGACCCGGGCGAGGGACACGGCGCAGACAAGACCTGGGGCTCCTCCAACGGCGTGGGCCCCGCCCCAGCGCTGCAGCCTGCGGCGGACGTAGGGGGCCCCCAGGATGATCGGGGCTCCTGGGCCAGTGTGGAGAACGGGGTGCACCCGTCTCAACCCTTCCTCGAAGGACAGGATGTCGGGGGGCAGGACGCGGGACCCGCGGCCTGGGAGGGGAGCCCCGACACCCTGAACGGAGACTGCCCCGCGCTGCCCGCCCCGGATTACCCCGCGCCCGGAGAAAAGGACCATCTCTGCCCGGCCGAGGACGGGCACCCGCAGCCCGCGTCCATGGAGCCCGGGGGACCACCGGCCGAGACCCCGCAGGCACGCCGGGACTCCTGCGAGGCTTTGAGCACGGATGGCCTGAGCCTCTGCTGGAAGGACGGGGACCCCGCCCCTCCCGCGGCGCCCCTGGTGGACTTGGGGGACACGTGGGCACAGGCGAGCGGGGACCCGAGCGCGCCCGAGGCCGATGAGGACGCGGCCGTGGCCGAAGCGCTGGCGGCCCTGGAAGCGGCCACGGCTGGGGAGGAGGTAGATGAGGCCGAGTAGGGGCAGAGGGTGCGCGCGCAGAGACTCTGGGGGTCCCCGCTGCCCACCCTGGGGAGGATGCGTGGGGTTCCCGCTGCCAGCCCTGGTGGTGTAGGGGGTCGCGTGTGCGCGCAGAGACTCTGGAGATCCCTGCTGCCGCCCCGGGGTGCGGGACGCGTGTGCGCGCCCTGGACATAGAACTCAGAGGGCTAATCTTGCAGGCTGGGTGACCTCTTCCTTGGGTGCCTGGACCAGGTTGCATCCGAGAGCATCCTGAACAGGTTGGAGGGAAGAGCTGTGGTTCACAACTCTGGAACTTCTCGCAGCCTGCGTGCCAGCCCCCACCTCCCACAAGAAATCCGAGATGGTCCGTTCTAGAACATGCTGGTACAACCCAGGGCTGGGTCCCCAAGAGCTCAGACTCTTCCCTTCGACTGTCCATCCTATCTCTTGCATCTGAGACCAAATACTGTATCCAGGGCAGAAGGTGACACCTTCCACTTGAAGTGCCTAATTCACCCCTCATCCCCCGACCCCCACCAAAGCATGGCTTCACCTTCAGGGACAAACCACCCAGGAAACTAATAAGACCCGACCACTTGTCTGGCCTCAAGTGAAGCTGGGCAGCTCTCTCCTGTGTGGTCAGTCACTGAGCTGTGATATTAAGACACCTTGACCTTAACTTTTCTTTTTTCTTTTTTTTTTTTTTACATTCTTACTTTTTAATCTCCTTTTGGGGTTCGAGAGGTTGGTTCAAATCTTCAAATAGATCGCATCATGTTTGGGATTTCAAGCCACTGAGATTCAGAATGTCTACACAAGCTGTCCATGGGTGTTTATTAAATGTTGGATTTTGATTCACCCTTCACAGCTGTATCTGTCTTCACTGGGGGAAGGGGGGTGGGGAGTCTCCTCTCCCCAGGCTGGCGGGTCATGGTCAGCCCCAGCAGAGGAGGGCAGTGCATGACCTCTGGACTCTCTCCAGGAGGAGGAGGCCCAGCAGACCAGCTGAGGGAGGGTGGGACCCTCTGGGAAAGCAGCTGTGGTGCTTGATGCGAGCTCAAAATCTGACCAGCCCAGGTCTTGGTTTCCAGCGATGTGACCTTGATTGAGCGAGTCGCTCATTTCCTTTCTCTTTGTTTGTCTCTTCAGAGAGAGAGTCGTGATAGTGCAGGCATGGCAGGTCACAGAGGGCCTGTGCAAATCCGTGTTCCAGGGCACAGGGGAGAGAGCTTCTGCAACACACCTTAGTGTTTTTATACCCTCCAATTGGAAACTGTAGCACAGTGAAGCCATCAAACGCATGGTGAGATTATTTCATATGAAACATGGTTTCTATTCTTTCTTTTAAGGACCTGCACACCCTATAGTGCTCAGAGGCTACTCCTGCTCTGAACTCAGGTGTGACCACTGAATTTGGAGGACAGTGAGGGGTGGGGATAGAAGCAGGGTCAGCTACAATACAAGGCACCATACTATCTCCCTGGCCCTAACACATGATTTTTGCCCCCCCCCCCCACCCGTACATCTGTAAGATGTACTCTTTCTTGGGCCAGAGAGATAGTAAAATGGGTAAAAATGCTTACCTTGTACATGGCTGACCTGGGTTCAAACCCAGACCCCACATATGGTTCCCCAAGCATTATCAGCAGTGATCCCTGAGCACAGAACCAGGAGTAAACCCAGACCACTGCCAGGTGTAGTCCAAATACCAAAAAAGAATGGAGGGGCCAGAGTGATAGTATAGCAGATGGGGCTCTTGCCTTGCACGTGGTCAACCTGGGTTTGATCCCCATCATCCCATATAGTGCCCAGAGCATCACTGATGTGGCTCAAAAACTTTTTAAAAGATAAATGGAAGAAGTGGCACTCTTCTTTACAGCGCAGAGGCCAGGCAGCGTCATATCCTCGGGCCCTTGCATTGCATCACTGGCCCAGTTGCCCGAGAATGGCCAGTAGGACCTCTGGATGTACTGAGCACCACTTGGGAGCACCACCACCACTGGAAAAAGAAATTACACCAAGAGACCAGGAATGTGGCTTACATGGCAGAGCACCTCCTTTGCAGGCTTGAGCCCCTGGATCACATCTCAGACACTGGTTGGACATAGCGTGGTGGCCTCCAAGTACCAACCACCATGAGCACACCTGGGCATGGTGCCCAAACAAGAGAAAAATGAAAGGGCCAGGGAGATAGTACATGAGGCTGGGACCTGCTTTAATTGTGGGCTCCGAGTTCATTGCCCAGGTAGCACCTGGAACGCCTAAACTATCAGGCCTGCAATTCAGGTCAAAGGCGCGAGGGAGGGCCTGGGCCCAGTCCCTGAACTGTCTCGCCAGCCCCAGATGCGAACTGAAGACCGCTTATGACTAATGGAAGCATTTCATGGTAACTGCATCTTGCTAAGATGTTCCCGCACTCTAGATCACTTCTAACTATCTCAGACGATTTGCAAGCAAAAAAATCCCTTTCCTTTCATTAACAACCTCCAGGCAAGAACGCAGCCCTAGGGGACTTCACATTTTGTTTGTTTTCCTTCTCATGACTAGCATCTAGATTCACATCATTTAGATTCACATCATTTTTAGCATTTTACCACAGCTTCTTTCTCAAAGTGCTGTCGCTCCTAGGACAGGATTTGGTAGGATTTTCTCCATCCGTCCAACGACGTTCAAACTAGCAAACTGTGGGCATAAAGCGCCCAGGTAAGGATCTGGAAGTTTCTGATGAGAAAGACACCAAACTGGAATCTTTGTTTTCTTATCAAATTTTATCCTATCATTGTTGTTATTTTGGTTTGTGGGTGCCACACAGAAAGATGCGGTGTGGGGAAGGGTACGCAAGTAGATTTTTGCTTATTGATTCATTCATCAGCGCTTTCTGCGGGGGAGGGGGAAAGGGGACTGGAAAGGTTAATTTCGGGCCCCATGACTGAGAAGCCGCGTTCTCTGCAGTTTGCCTCTTGGGCCAGCAGAGGGGGCTGCTGTCCCGCTCCGCCCAAGGGCCTATCTGGGCAACAGCTAAACCCGGTGGACAGCGACCCCTGCTGGGAAAACACAGTGCTGGCGCCAAGGAAAGCTCTGTGACCTGGTGTTTGGAGTTTTGCAGAAGTCCAGGGGGCTGGAGCGTTAGCACAGCGGGGGTAGGGCGTTTGCCTTGCACGCGGCCGACCCAGGTTTGATTCCCCCGTCCCTCTCGGAGAGGGGAGCCCGGCAAGCTACCGAGAGTATCCCGCCCACAGGCCAGAGCCTGGCAAGCTCCCCCGTGACGTATTCGATATGCCAAAAAAAGTTAACAACAATGGAGACATTACTGGTGCCCGTTCGAGCAAATCGATGAACAGGAGGGCAGTGCTACAGTGCCACAGAGGTTCAGACTGGTGATTGGGGAGGGATGGTGCTGGGGAGGATCAGTGACGTCAGGAACTAGCAGGTTCCACAGGTGCTAAGCATAACCCTCTCTGACCATGGCCAGACCCTTAATGATGGCCTTGAATCCATGGGGCCTCAGTCTGCGCTTCCCAGTTCGCGGAGGCCTGGAGATGAAGGTGGGTTGGTTGCAGGAGGAAGGGCAGGCTCATGCCCCCTCATGTCCCGGCAGCTGGAGTCCACTGCAGTATCTCCACTAAGCACGTTCCATGCGCTGCTCACAGCCGCTCACCCTGTAAGGGGTAAGGGGGCTCAGCCTTACCCCTTCCGCAGGGAGCCTGAGCCAGCCACTTACCCTTGGGCAGCACCTGCCCGGGTCTACCAGAAGGTGAGGGATTAGGGATATTGCCACCTCCTTGGTCTCTTGGTTTTCATGAGCTGAAAATGATTACCTCAAGATCTTCCCTTCATTAGCATCACCCATCCTGTTTCTAAGGCCACAACAAATCAGGATTCTGGGAGAGGGCAACAGGCTGAAGCTTTGCATGCCGGAGCCCTGGATTTAACCCTGTTACCACATGGTCCCCCAAGCCCTGCCAGATGTCCACCCCAACAACAACAACAACAACAACAACACACACACACATACACCAAACAGAACCCCACAAAAATCCAAAGTCTAGTGAAGCACCACAAAGCAAAGCTGGCTTTATATGCACTGTAAACACTGCAACCAGGACGGTAAGGAAACCCGAATGCCAACAGTGCCGAACGGAGGCAAGGAGACTCCCTGGAGGAGCTGCTGCTTTGGCAAACAGGCTTCCCTGAAGCCTAAAGGCATGATGGCAAACTGGCTTCTCGTAGGGGTGCAGCGTCAGTAAAAGTCAGGGTTTCCCACCCCAGATGAAACCTGTCAGAAGTTAGGCAGGGAATTTGGAAGAAGCCGAGGGAGCAGGGCTGCAGGCAGGGCTTTTGGATACAAACATAAAGAAATGCGTGTCCAAATATATGGAGGCACGAGGGGCTGGGACACCCCAGGTCACTCCTCGAAGCCTTTATTTGTATTTTTATTTTGGTTTTGGGGGCCACACTTGGGCAAGTGTGTTCGGGGGCTACGCCTGGCTCTGTGCTCAGGAGTGCCCCTTGGTGGTGCCCAGGTGCAAGGCCCTTGTCTTTCCTCCTGGCGTCTCTCCCCATGTGCCCAAACCCAGCTCTCCCATATAAAGCCCCAGGGAAATACAAGATGCGGGGTGAGCAGTTTAGGGGTCCACAAGAGGGAAAAACAAAAGTGGGAGAGGAAAGATGGGAGGAAGGAGAGAGGAAGGGAGAGGCAGGGGGAGGTCAGAAGGGCTATGGCTATGGATGAGCCCCCAGCAGAACCTGCACACCTCCCCCAAAGCAGCTGCTGACCAATGAGGTGAGTGCCACGGGATCTGCTCGCAGTGGGGGGCAGGGAGGGGCATGGGTGGGAAGTAGTGGGGGCATTCGGGCATTTGGATGGGGTCCCCTAAAATGTGAGGTTGAGTTCAGGCTTGGGGTGAGCCCGATAGCAAACGTTCAAGCGAAGACAACATCTTAACGTCTTGCTGGAGGGAGGGTAAGGTAGAAAGACACAGGGACGCAAGTGTCTTTACAAGAGGAATGGGCAGGAGGGCATGCAGGGGGCAGGGGCAAACAGGCAGGGTGCAGACAGGCTCAGGCGCGCGCATGTTTGTGTGTGTGTGTGTGTGTGTGTGTGTGTGTGTGTGTGTGTGTGTCTGGTGGACAGGGGGTTGTTGGGGGAGGGAACCCAGGTTCCCCAGCCCCACCCCAGAGCTCAGGGAGGGCCACAGAGCTTTTGGAAGCGCACCAGCTCAGCGGTCACTCACTCCTTCTCAGGCTCCTGCCTTCTGAACAGCACGAGACTCAAATTTCTGCGTGTGGAGGGACCCCCTAAGAAATGAAACTAATAGACGAGGAGGATTGGAGCAGAACTGGGTATTTATCTAACGTCAGTTTCTCTCTGGAGGGGCCGGAGAGACAGTAGGTGTTTGCCTTGCACATAGCTGATGAGGATTCCATCCCCACAACCCATAGGGTCCCTCGAGCCCACCAGACGTGATTCCTGAGCACCACCAGGTGTGGCCCCAAACCAAACAAAGAAAAAAAGAAAATACCTTTCTCATTTGAAATACTTCTATTAATGATTTTTATTTTTTTTTTAAGCAGCAGCTTTGCCAGAGGGAGACTTGAGGGCCACCACTGGGAGCTGGACATCACTAGCCTTACCCGTGAGCCCCACATTAACCCTCCTCCAACACTCTCTGCCACCCTCACCAGAAGACCACGGGAAGGAGTAGATCATCTGCATGGGCCCCCATCGGGGGAGACAGCCAGGAACTCCCGGGGCTGAGCCCTTTCTGGGAAGTGGGGGATTTGGAGCTGATGGCACACAGGAATCACCTGACGAAGCTACAAGTCTTGTAGCGGGTGGGGAGCGTGGACCTCAAGGAAGATTCTGATGTTTCTGGCATTCCTGTAGCCTGACCAGCAGCAGTCCATTGTTAGGAGTATTAGAGATCAATGATTCTATTGGGGGGGGCTGGGGGGAGGTCGCACCTAGCTCTGGCCTTAGGGTTGCTCCCCACAGTGCTCAGTGTTCTTGGGGCCAAACCTGGGCCCTCCCACACTCAAGGACATTGGGAATTCTTAAAGCTTTCCAGGTGAGGGGCTGGAGCATAGCACAGCGGTTAGGGCGTTTGCCTTGCATGCAGCCGACCCAGGTTCGATTCCCATGCAATCCCCCGAGCACCGCCAGGAGTAATTCCTGAGTACAGAGCCAGGAGTAACCCCTGTGCATTGCTGGGTGTGACCAAAAAAGGCGCAAAAAAAAAAAAAAAAAAAAGAGAAAATGAAGAGAAAAAAAAAAAGCTTTCCAGGTGATTCAAGTACACACAAATCACACAAATCACAAATCATCCTGTTATTCGTCGATTGCCTCGAGCAGGCCCCAGTAACGTCTCCTTCATCCTAGCCCTGGGATTATATTCAAGGCTCTTTAGGAGAATGAGACCCATCATTGTTACTGGTATTTGGCATATTGGGTACGCCATGGGGAGTTTGCCAGACTCTGCCGTGTGGGCAGGCTACATTCAGTAGCCTGCAAGTTTGTCCAAAGTAGGAATGAGATAATGAGATGTCATAATAAGATGTCGTGTGGCCGCCGGAGGTCTTCGGCTGCCGGAGCCCTGGTCGGGGCGGGGAGGAAAGCTCAACCCGCTCCCCTCCAAGGGGCCCCGGCGAGGACAGCCAGGTGCAGGGGCAGGAGACTGCACTGTTCTCTTCCGGGAGCTGGTTTTTATAGTCTCTGAGTCTTGGCCGCTGATGGGATTACACGCCGCCAGGGGGCCAATTGGTGGGTGTGACCCCCGCCTACTGGAATTTGGAGGATCTGGGTGGAGGATGCTCGGCCCCGGTCCGAGTAGGCTTGGAGATCTCGGCCCCGGAACCCGCGTGGCTTTGTCCCTCTGCCAGGACAAAGCCAAGTACACACAAACCTCGGATATAAAAAACCAGCCAGTGTCTTATGAAGAGGGGGAGATGAGGGCAAGGGGTGGGGGGAGAGCCCAGTCCCACCAGAAGACTCTTGGGAGATGCCAGAACTAAGAAAAGGACGCGCGAGGGGAACAGTCAGCTGACCCTCTGGGTGAGGAGGATTTGCCCGTGCCAACTCGCTCCGGTCATCATGGTTCTGCTGTTATGGAACAGTAACAGTAAATACATTAAGGGAAATGGGGTGAAGGTATCCAAGCGTATTTGAATATAATGATCAGGACCTGGTAGGTAACGTTACTACAGGGGTTAGGGAAGGGCAAATCCAAGACAGCACATCAGTCTAATGATGTCTTAACCAGAAGGCAGACATAGAAATTAAGTGCATTCTAATGAGGTAATACCTTCCAAGGTCTTATTAAGGCCGGCCTGCTAGAGCATTCCAGTACGGATGGTCTCACCAGGATACCAACCACTGCATCCATTTAAAAAAAAAAAAAATGTCAGACCATACTGAAACATTTTTATTTTTAACTCTGCTTTGGTAGTACAAAAGTCGGAAAAGTACAAACCAGACAGTTAAAAATACATTTGACACTGAAAAAATGCTGAAAAGGTTTCCTTTACAAATTTTTACATCAAGGTGGTAGCCAACTCATGTCTGCGTCTCGCGGGTAGTGTCTTGCGTTGGTGTGAGCGTGTGCGGGCCCCACCTGTCCGGAGCGTGTAAACATCAGCTGCTCTGGGAACACTTACGGATTCTTAGTGGAGAGTATAAACCAGTACAAAGCTTATGTGTTGAAAATTTTCGATGCTTAGCTTTTGGCGTATCGGAAGCCAGCCAGACAAAAACTGCTCAAGTATTAGAAAATATTTAAAACGCACTCTTGGTATATAAATACAATTTTAAATAACTGCGTATTCTTTTGCCTGTTGTATTGCTATTGAAACAAAGTGCTCTAACCTGAATAAAGTTTAAAAATAATTAAAGCTGTACAATAGCTTACAGTCCAGCCCTCAGCGTTTTGAGGCCGTATTTTTTAAGTCCTACCACCCCACCCCAGGCCAAAATGGTGCTTTTTTTGTTTTCTCTTTTTACTAAAACTACCAGCTAGACTGCATATGTTATTTACACTAATACACACCCCAAAAAATCTCTATATTGATACTTTTTGGACCTCAATCAAATTTATTTTCCCACTGATTTCCTCTAGTCTCCTATGTATATGATGTACCTATGTGTACACACACACACACACACATATACACACACACATACACACACCACACACCTTTCAATTCACTGTAAGAATTCACATGAGGCCACACCTACTGCTCATTTCAAAAGTTAGACATTTTTAACTGGATGGCAGACAGAATGGAATGAGTATATTTACAGTAAATACTCTGAAGGACATGTTTGTGAAAATCGTCTTTTGGAAGTCACATGAGAAAAAGTGCTTTTTGTCGATGTGATAGAAATGCCCCAGGCCCAACACACAGCCTCATCTGGACCTCACTGGACCTGGAGTATTTCTTGGGGCTGGACGACCCCCTGTGGACAGACCCTGTGGCCTACCATAAATGCGTTACCATCTTGGCGTCTGAGTCCTTTGAGGTGTGTAAACTGTTGAGTTTAAAAAAAAAAAAAAAAGAAGCAACAAGTAGTTTTTCTGGGCCCACAGGAAAGAGACCGCCAAGGGTGGGAAGTGATGAGTGTTAGTTCAAAAAAAAGGAAAAGTAGCCAGTAGCATGCCAGGAGAAATGTGGCAGAAGCCACGCTGACCATCTTGCCTCAGCAGTGGGCATTTGGGGTTCTGTTCTGGCCCCGGGTTGTCAAAACATTTTAGAAGTGACTTTCACAAGGAAAGCGTTTTTCAGCCTTTTTATACCTGCCCACAACACTTGCCCTGCTGGCCTGTGGACCGACACTTAAAACCATGGCAGCAGAAGAAAGAAAGTAGGGTGGAGAAGGAGGCTTGAAGCTGTGCCCCCACCACCCGCCCCTTTACTCAATGACTAAGTCGCTTAGCCTGAGTTTTGTAAGAATGATAACAGCATTCGAACGGCCGAAGAACAGCGTGGCCACAGCAGGCTTTGGAATCTAGAGTCTGGAGACCAAATCTTTCACCATCCGAGTCTGGTTTGTCCTTCGTAACAGCGAAACCGTAAGAGGATCCCTTCACTCCGGAGCAAACTGGAATGTGAGAGTTGCACATACACACACACACACACACACACATGCACACGCACACAAACACGCACACGCGCACACACACGCGCACACACACAGACACACACAACTGTAAGAGAATTCCTTCACTCAGGAGCAAACTGGAATGTGAGTGTTGCACACACACACACGCATACAAGCACGCACACACGCACGCACACATTAACTCAGACTGTACACGAATCGTCCCACTGTGCAGAGTGAGAGTACTGGAAAGATTGCAGTGTGTACCCAAGCCCAAGGAAGACGGGAGCGGAGGGTGGGGAGGGATGGGGAAGGGCCATGGCCAGGGGTGATGGGGAAGATCAAAAAGGAGCTTTTCAGTTCCTGGGAAAGTAACCCATTTTCCCCAGCAACTTTGAACAAAACTGCTTCCGAGCAATTTTACACGCAGCTTAGCCACGACATTCCCTTTCGGCTTCGTCCACATGCCTGATGCCTCTGAGAGAAACTGTACAAAAGGTAGCGAGAAGTATTCCCTAGGCAACTTCCTATCTCTCAAGTTTTCAGAGGCTGGGGTGTCTTCAGATACAGTCACTCCTGCAAGAGAAAACAGAAGCAGGTAAGTGACGGCCAGGTGCCACCCGCCAACCCTCCTGAGGACTAAACACAAGAAGGAGATGCAATCCCCCCGCCCCCACCCCTGCCAACTGTTCTTCTAAAACATAGTCTCAAGACATCTTGGTGCCTGCCACCTGCCCAAAGCTGTCCTTATCAAGGCTTTGCAAACCAAAAAGGAATCAAATTTGAGCACCAAGTGAACCTCGAGGGCTGGTTGGCTTTGAACCTGGGGGCTGAGGGGACCCTGGTGCTCTGTGAGGTGCTCTGTGAACATTCATTCCATCTTGAAACAGGCAGGTGCCTTCTCTGTGACAGTCTTCCCCAGCCACGCCTACAGGGTCAGTCCTGCACTTTCAGAGGAGGCTGGCATTTCCCCGGGGAAATGAGAAGAGTGAAAAAACATTCTCGCTGAGCACTTGCTGAGCACTTCCGGGGCCTGCAGGGCTGAGTTTTGAGTCATTTCCTACAGGCTGTTCTTGCCCCAGGCTCCATCTCCAGACCCCTGTGTGCTTATGAGCCCGACCATTCCAAAGAGGTGTTGTTGCTGGCCAGTTGTCCCGATGACAGAGTTGCAAATGTCTGCATGCCTTTTTCTCTCCTACCTGGAAGACCGGGCGACCCCCTGGACAAGACTTGCTTTCTGGGGCTGTCCGGGCAGGTCAGAGCAGAGACACCAAGGAGGCCAGAACACTCGGGTTCAAGACCCAGCCACGACTCACTCTCAAGCCTGTGTTCTTCCAACACTCATTCCTCTTCCTTCTCTCTTTAAGAAAATTTCATTCAATAAAAAAAAAATGCCGCTTCACTAAACAAACAAAAACCAGGCGAGTGGGCCAGAAGTGAGCTTGTTTCTACATGCCAACCGGACAGAAAGGAAACCAACTTGCAAGGACAGCGAGAGTAAAAACACAGTCAATGAACAGGTAGTGATGTGTCACTTGACCTTGATCCACAACTCAGCCTTCAGGATGCACAGTCTAATCCAGCAAACCATTGCCTGTTACTCTGTTACTCTGTCTTTTGTAAGATTTGTTGTAGTTGAGAGAGAGAGAGAGAGAGAGAGAGAGAGAGAGAGAGAGAGAGAGAGAGAGAGAGAGAGAACAAATACGCCAAGTCAAAGGCCAGTATATGGAACCTGTAAGGTTCCTTGGGACCCCAAGGAAAATTCCAGAGCTAAACTCTGCTAATTAGTAACTCTTCCTTTCCTGCCCCCTCCCTAGTAGAGCCTTAGCTGTGAAACCATTTGTTGACTCTTCCTAATTGGGATGAAATTCTGTCTCCATTTGTTGACCCTTCCTTATCTGTGCCTCTGTTAGTAACTTTTCCCTTATCCACTGCCACCGGAATGCAGGTGCCATGAGCTGTAAATTAAAGGGAGCCAGGTAAACACAGAAGATAACCAAATGTCTGAGTTACGAGATACCCGCTAGTCGCCCATGAAATGTGCGGGCTCTGCTGTAATGGCCAGTGAAGGCCTATATAAGATCCCCTTTGAAGAAGTTCGAGGTCTTGCCTGACGGCTGAACCCTGGCTAGCCAGCTCAATAAAGTACCTGCTTTCTGACTGCATTCCTGTGTGGCCCTTGCTTGTGGTCGGAGATCCAGAGTTGTGCCCTAACAGAACCTTATCCTCTTAGGCAAAAAAAAAAAAAAAAGGTAACAAAGTAATATTATGAAAAAGGAAACAGAACAAAGCAGCAAGAGCCCAAGTCATTGCCACAATGGGACTCATTCCCTGCTCAGCAGACCAGGACTTCATGGGGCTTGAACAGTGCATCTGCCCTGAGTGATGCCACAAAGCGGAACCAGAAAGACACACGTGTGCTGGAGTCAGGGGCTCCAAAACATGAGCAGGGGCACAGGAAGGAGGGTGGCGATGACCCTGCGAGAGAAGACGGTGAAAAGAGAAAAGCATGTCTCCCATCAGCCTTGCAGCACGGAACTGGAGAAAGCAGCCATCCAGCTGTCTTCCAGGTCTTCCTGCTTGTTGGCTGCCTGAGCCCCAGAGACTTTTGTAAGCGGGATCATAGGAAGGTCAGGACAGGGAGTCGGAGTCTGAGAAAGCCGGGTTCCATGGCGGGAAGAGCAGAGCTGGCATCCTGACACGGCAGGAACGTCCCATTCAGAGCCCCCCAAGCACCGTGGCCTGACAGACTTGTTCTCGGCTCCTGCCCCACCTCGAGCACTCTGCACTGAGGCTGGGTCCCCACTCTTGGGGCATTTCCACACTCGGCTCCCTAGCATGGCTTACCCTGGGCCTTGCAAGGCTCGAAACCCTTACCCCATGTGCTACTTGGATCCAAACCAGCACCCAGAATCTGGGGGCTGTTCTCCACAGCTGCCTTCTGTATCTCACCGAAAAAGCGGTGCTGAGACCCCTGGGGAGGAAGTGAGACCCAAACCATGGGGGCATGTGTGCGCTAGGAAAGCCAGACACTGGCATCAGAAGGGGAAAGTTCATCTTTTACAAACTCAGGGGGAAGCATTCCAGCACTGCCCTACAGTCCCCATAGAGCCCCCCCGCACACACACACACACACACACACACACACACACACACACACACACTCACATACAGACACACACACAAACACACACACACTCAAACACACACACTGAAACACAAACACACACACTCAAACACACACGCACATACACTCACATACCTATACTCACACATACACAGTCTCATACACATACTCACTCTCACAGACACATTCACACACATACACATTCTCTCACACACTCTAAAACAATCACGTACACAATCACACACACACACACACACACACACACACACACTCACGTCAAGGTGGCGCTCACCCTGAAAAGCTGCTCTCAATTTCACGACAATCAAAGGGAAAAAAGAAGACACCCCACGTGCCCTGACTGGTAAATTTCCAACTGCAACCTTCTTTCTGTCTCCTCAACCCAGTGCATTTCCCCTCGATGAGTTTTCTCTCCGTTCTTTCTCTGCTCTCCAGTAGATTCATTTAAAAACCGGTTGTCCTTTTTTTTTTATTTTTTTCTTTTGGTTTTGAGACAACACATCTGAGGTGCTCAGGGGTTACTCTTGGTGAAGAAGATCACGCATCAGTGCCAGGGACTGAACCCGGAATTCTCACATGCGAAACAAGAGCTCCAGCCGGTTGAGCCATCTCCCTGGCTCAGGACTAGTCCCGCCTGTCGAGGCTAAAAGGTTCCTTCCAGCCATGAGAAGCCACATGTGGGCTGGCATAAAGACCGTGAATCAAAGGACCAGGGGGACAGCACTGCAGCTGGGGTGCTTGCTTTGCACACGGCAGACCCAGGTTCAACCCCTGGCATCCCACAAGGTCCTGTGAGCCCTACCAGGAGTGATCCCTGAGCACAGAGTCACGAGCAAAATCCAAAGTACTACAGAATGTACCCCCAGCCTCCTCACCCCCCAAAATAAAATAAAATAAAATAATAAAAACGGATGTGGCTCCTTTAAGCAATCAGACACACTCAGACCTCAAAGGGCAAACTTGTTAGGGAAGGAAGCAGCTGATGAGTAACAGGAGCTGACATTTATAGGGCACTGCCCGCCGAGCACTGCAGACGCAGGAACACCGTCGTGCCAATGACTCGTGGCCCTCGGCTTCAGCCGGAAACAGAGGCTGCCAGGATAGACAGAGCCCCACAGTCAGAGCGCCACCCACACCCGCCAGGTGCCAGCCGACGCTGCTCTCTCCCTCTTCCTCACCACCCACTGCCAGGAACCCCACGGGAGCCTTGGATTCCAACACGCGAGCCATCGGCAGGGTCCTTGGCAGGGAAGGGACTGACGTGCAGAAAGTCTGAGTTCAGGTTCCGGAACCCATCGCCAAGGCTCTGAAGACCCTCACCTGTGCCCAAAGAGGGTCACATACACCAGCTCCACAGCTCGGCCCATCAGCATCCCCTGGAGGACAAGGGCCAGGGGTCTGCCAGGCCCGGCCCTGGCACCCAGACCATCACTGCTGGCAGCTGGACCCAACCCAAGCAGGAAGCTCTGCCCTTGTCTGAGAAGCAAAGACGCCCCTCAAGGTTGGCACTGCCAACACGACACCTGTAAGGGGACCGTGAAGGTGGGACAGAGCCCGGGCACCCAGCAGGAATAAGATCAAGCGCAGAAAGCCGCCCGGCAGCAGCCTCTCTTCACCCCACATCAGGATGCGGAGAGTTGGGGTCCACAGACAGCTTCCCAAATGCCCAGCCCACCTCCAGTTGGAGCCAATGACAACATCTAAACCCAGGGAGATCCCTGACACCTCCTGATCCCCTGAGCCGGCCAGGAATAATCCCAGAACACAGAACCAGGAGTGAGACGTGAGCACCACCAGGAATGGCCCCGAACAAACACAAGACAAAGAAAATTCCTAGAGGGGTGGAGAGGGAGTTAGAGCAGGTAGGGCACTTGCTTTACACCTCACCCCACCCCCACACACACCACATATAACCCCCAGAGCCCTGCCAGGTGTGATTCCTGAGCACGCAGTCAGGGGTAAGCCCTGAACACTGAAGGGTGTGACCCCAAAACCAAAAGCAATAACAACAGTTTCAAGGGGCCAGGGAGATTGCTCAGTGGTCAGGGGGATATGTGCTGCATAGGCAAGGACTACACTGTTGAGCAGTCTTGGTGGCCCCTGAGTATCACTATGGTGGCCCCTGTGTGGTCCCCAGCACCACAGGGCCTGAACGACACTCCCATCCTCGGCCAGCATCGAACTGCAAACTCCTCTGGCCAAGAACCCCCAAGATGGGCTCCTGATCACCACCTGGGAGTCCTCACCAGCGCCACCAAATGAATGATCTCATTAATAAAAGAATTTAAAGGAAAAATGATGCTACCACCAATGTCCGCAGAGGGAAATGTACGCTGGTGAAGGGACAAGAGTTGCAACACTCTAAGGCTGAAACCTAATCATGAACAACTTTGTAACTGTGAGCCTCACTGTCAATCAATTAAAAAATTTA